TTCTTCTTCTTCTTCTCCTTCTCCTTCTCCTTCTCCTTCTCCTTCTCTTTCTTCTTCTTCCTTCTTCTTCTTCCTCTTCTTTTTCTTTTCATTTTTGGCTGTTTTATTTTTAGCCCTTGGCAACTTGTTTCAAGAAAAAGACACTGTCATCAACATGAGACACTGGTTCACCGTTAGGAAACTATTAACATTGCAGTTTTCGAATGAGATCTCAGGTAGTCCCAGTAAGCAGGTAAGCCTCTGGTAAGTATTTCCTACTGTGATCTGCAGCACATTATCATACAAACTATTTCTTAAAGTCCTTTAACAGAGCCTTAGAGAGGGCCAGCAACTCAGGTCCCTAGTTCTGCAGGATTTAGGTCTCCTTGTGCTGGGGTCCTGTTTTCCTCCCCTCTGTGGCAAAGTGATCAAGATAAAAGAAGTGACTGGACAGAAGGGAAAGGGTTGTCCAGCTGATTTCCTGTTCCTGGTGCTCTGAAGCCCCATTGTAGGTAGGTGGTGAGAGGGTACAGAACAGCAACAGCAAGAGGTGTTTAGGCAGACACTGGAGAGAACTTCCTGGAAGAAAATTAAGAGACTCATGACAGTGTGATTCTGAGATATTTAGGAATAGCTATTGCAGGGATATTTAAGAAGGGACAGATACTTTCAGGGCCAGAGGGGCTAGGTGGTAGAATCCTGTGAATTTTCCCCGGGGTAGATGAGGAATTCTTCCCAGGACATGATGGCTGCTCAACATCAGCAGATTTTTTGAGCCATATCATTTCTAGGTTGCCCAGAGAAAAGCATAAAAAGGGACCAAATTGCTTCTAGTATCCTCTCTAGGTGTATCTCCCCAGACTCTCACCTTGGATCCTGGCTTCTAGTGTCTTTAAGCCCTCTGGCTTCCTCAAATGTCTCCTGATTAGGTTTCTGTTACTTTGTGCCCTCAATGATTAGTCATTGCCAGGTAACTGACACCCTAATCTTGTCCATTTCCAAGACTCATGTCTCCAACAGAGACCTCTGCATTTAGGGAGCCCTAGTACCTGCTGGTCATGGGGACCCTTTTAGCGTATGAACCACTGAAGGCCAGCACCTCAAAGGACTAATTCTTTTAAGAGTGGATCCTTGGGGTGCATAATGGCCAGAGTGAGAGCAGACAGGCAAGCTCTGTGGCACTGGGGCACTCTCTCCATCTGGGAGGATACAAGATCTGAGGTGACCTGTAATGTCAGAAGTCTCTTATCAGCTGCAATATTTTTTCTCTTAGGTGAGTGTTTCTGGAAAACAGCTTGTCTCAGAGGATAAGAGCCCTCTGCTTTCCAGCTCTTGTCTCAGGGTCTGAGGATCCACTGCCAGTCAGCAGCTTCGGCAGGTGAGAGCCATTCTACGGGATTAGGGTTCTAGGCCTGCGTCTGGGATTGATTTGCTGTGTGACCTTAAGGAAGTATTGTTCCACCCTGGGCTTTCATCTTAACCCCTCGATGACCTGGGAAAGTCTTTGTTTTTCTGACCCTATGACCCAAACAGAACTGCAGAAGAGCTAATATTCATTGAGTTGGACAAGACAATATAGGTGGGATGGGATAATTTGCAGAGACAGAGAATATTTGGTGCTCAGCTTTGGGCAAAGTATGTTTGAAATGCATAATGGACCTCCAAGGGGAGAAGTCAAGCAGATTGGGATGCAGCAGAGAGATCCAGGCTGGAGACACATGTGAGGGTAATCTGCAAGGCAGTTGGGGTCCAAGCTACCATACTGGGTGAGATCTTGTATGGAGTGAGTGTGCATAAAGGAGATGAGGCAAATCATCAAAAGAGAAGGTGAAGAAAGGGTTAAAGAAGGTGAAAGAAAGTACATCAAGCCCATGGGAGCTCTGTTTCTCTCTCCCTAGTTGGAGCTAGAACTTGCTGTCAGTCCTGGACATAAATCTCCTCTTTGCCCCCTGGAATAAAAGAACTGTCCCTGATGCCTGACAAGGCTCTGGGGCTGTGCATTCCATAAACACAGCAGGGAGGACTGCCATCACCCCAGGTAAGGCCCTGGAGTCGTCCACAGTTAATGATTAGCTCTGCTCTCCATGAAGGCCACAGGGATTCTGGAGTTATCTTCTTGATTAGCTGCCTTCTTCCCAAAGGTGGTAGGGATTCAGGAGCTATCTGCTTAGGAGGAGGGTGGACCAAGAGATCCTCACAGAAACTTCCCAAAGGACTTGGCAGGTGAGCACTATTGTCAGGAATGGTGGACTGATGGGTCACTAACTGATCTCTAGAAGTCAGGGCTATGGAGGAGAGGGAAAATCTCCAGGGAAAAGCAATCTGCAATCCCTAGGAAACTTGAAAGGGCCAGTCTTAGTGAGGAGGCAGCACTGGGCAAAGGAAAAGTGTCTTTAGCATAGCAAAGGGAGGGACTGAGGTGGCTGGGAGAAGGGCAGTCAAAGGGGGTGGGAGTTGGATGGCAGTCAGGAAAGGAGCCCTGTCAGAGGAGGTGAGGCCAGAAGGATGAGCAAGAGCCAGCCAAGGAAAGAGAGAGGGACCAGAATGTACAAAAGCAATAACTATTCTTGCCTAGGAGCTGGTAAGGGTATCTTCACTTGTTTGTGTAGAAAATAGGAGAGGAGACAAAAGTGTTGAGAGACCTTGAGTATTCTGGCTGCTGCCACCTAGAAAATGGGGGATGGGAATTCAGCCATTGGCAGGACTCCTACCCAGATTCCTCGAATCAAAGGTCCTAGAGGTAAATTCTGCAACCCCCATCAAGGTGCACATGCTGGAACTCAGACACCAGCCTACACAGCCTTGGAACTACTTTCCCTGGAGCCAAACCATAGATGAAAACAATAATTATAACAGTTATAATTTCTAAAGTGATTCTAGGTATAGGCCCCATGTGCTAGGTGCATAGTATTCAAGATACCTCAGTTAATTAAAAAGTTTGAATGTCGCTGGTTTAGATAGCCACCTGAGAGACTAATGGATAATAGAGACTTGCTTATTTATGATTGTTAGTAAGTAGGGTAAATAACAGATCCTTTATGTTATTAGTAAAGTGTTTTATTGCTTTGAGGTATACCTGTAATGAATGTTTCACTCCCCAAATTAAATTTTTCTTTGCCTGGAAAAAGAGATATCTCAGTCAAGATTCAGTTGAAGGAAATAGATGCTGTTTGTATTAGTCAGCACATACTATGGTAACAAATATCCCAAATACCTCAGAAGCTTATACCCATACATATTTTTTCTCATGGGTCTGTGTGTTGGCCATGGCTGTTAGGGCTCAGCTCAGCTCTACATGTGCTATCATCCAGGGATCCAGGCTGAAGGTACAGCACCTATCTGGGATATGTTACTCTCATAATAGAAAGCAGAAATGCAAGAGTTCCTGACCAACTACACAGTCTCATCCATTCACATCTCATCGACCAAAGCATATCCCACAAACCAAGCTAAAGCCAATGAGAAGTGGATACATCCTCTTCCCCAGAATGCACTGGGCAAGTCACGCGAAAATGAATGGGGTCACATAATCCCACTATAGGGAGGAGGCAGTTGTTGGAAAAAGCAATTTAATCTACCACACCACAGCATTTTAAACATAAAGGTATTTATTGCATGAAATTGGGTGTTTATAGGACTGTCAGAAGGGCTGGAGAGATAGGATTTAGACTGGGTGTTGTGCTTTTGGAGAATGGCACACCGGAGGGAAACAGAACTGAATGCTGAGTGCCAATTCACTCATAACCACCACAGATTCCTTTCTGGAAGAACCCTGGAAGGTTGTGATGAGTCTCCTTAAGCAGCTGACCTAGAGTAGTCTATACCAGAAAGACTCACCACTGTGACCTCTTTGCTTCACAGGTCTGACCATGCACTGGCTGTGGAAACTCCAGCAGGTTTGCATCCAATGGGGGGCCCAGATGTCTGGTTGCACTGTCCACCTTCATACCAAGCAACTGGCATCCCTGCAGTGGGGTCACCAGGAGGTCCCTGCCAAATTTAACTTTGCTAGTGATGTGATAGATCACTGGGCTGGCATGGAGAGGGTAATGGGGTGGAAAAGGGGCACAAAGTTGAACAAAGTTCATTAATTCATCCATTCATTCCATAAGTATTCATTGAGCACTTATGTGTCAAGTACTATGATGAGCTATGAAGATGTCCATCTTCCATGAAGGCAGCATGGGTAGGAGCAAGAGAGCATGAGCTTGGCAGAAAGGAGCCCTTGGGGGCTGGTGCTGGGTGGGGTGATCTGGAACACTTCCCCACCCCAGCCCTGGCAGCTGACACACAGTTTGCCTTTACATACATGCTCTCTTGTGACCTCCCAGGGTAAAATAAGGAAAAGGGAGCTGTGGTCATAGAGAAAGTAGATTGGAGTTTAGTAAGAGAAAGTCAGCACTGACCAAAGACTGAGTCAGTCTTCTCAGAAAATTATGTGTCCTTGTCATTAGGGGTGTATAAATAGGGTGGCCACTAGGCAGGGATTGTTCAAAGGGGCTCCATTATGAGATATTAGAGAAAGAAAGCAATGTGGAAATTTCCCTCCCTGGACTTCTGGAATTCCACCCCATTCATTGCTAATTCTGCCATTGCCTTCCCCTAAAGTTCTGCGCACCATTCTAGAGCATGGAAGATGAATGAAGAGGTGGAGCATGGTGCTCAAAAGGAGTCATACCATGATGTTGGCCTCAGGTCCCAACACCATGACACAACCTTGATGTGCAGATCACAAATGCTGGGCCTCTAGGTGAAGATGGCCCATGGTGCAGGCACTCTTAAAAAATAATAATAGTAAGGGTACCTGGGTGGCTCAGTTAGTTAAGTGTTTGCCTTTGGCTCAGGTCATGATCCCAGGGTCCTGGGATCGAGCCCTGTATCAGACTCCCTGCTCAGTGGGGAGCCTGCTTCTCCTCCTGCCCCTCCTACCGCTTGGGGGTGGGCACTTGCACAAGCCCTCTCTTTTGCTCTCTCTCTCAAATAAATAAAATATTGAAAAATAATAATAATAATAAGTCAACATTTTAAAATTGAAATTTTTCAGATAAAAATTTAGATTTCTGGCTTTTCTTTGAAAGTTATACCTCCTTAGAATAATGAAGAAGGTCTTTACTACCATGACTCAGAATCCTGAATCCATAAAAGAAATTATTTAATAAATTAGTTATATAAACATCAAAAAATCACCACATTGACAATGCCATAAACAAAATAAACTAGTGACAACTGAGGGAAGATATTCAATTCCTATGACAGCATAAGAGTTAATAGTGCCAACATGAAAAGAGCTCCTTGAAATCAAGAATAAAGAGACACAACCAAATATACAAGTGGGCAAGTTATATGAATGGACAGTTTACAGAAAACTGAACTCAGGGGCTCCTGACTGGTTCAGCCGGTAGAGCATGTGACTCTTGATCTTGGGGTTATGAGTTCAAGCCCCATATTCAGCATAGAGATTACTTTAAAAATAAAATCTTAAAAAAAAAAGTAAAGTGAACTCCAACGTTTCTTAAATGCTCAACCCCACTCATAGTAAGAGTAATGTAAGTTAAAACTTCACTGAAATAATATTTTTACCTACCAGTTTAGTTAAATACAGGAGTTTGACAACATACTGTGTTGACAGGACTATGAGGAAAATGACACTTTTGCACATTACTGGTCAAAGTACAAAAGGATACAACTCTGAGGAATTTTTAACTATCTAACACAATTACTATTAAATTTTCTCTGACTTTGTAGTACTGCTTTCAGACTATGATATAGAACCCTGAGGATACCTGAGACTCAGGGTAATCTGTGAAAACAAAACTATCTCGAAACAAAACTAAGACAAATTGGAATCCTTGTGCATCACCAGTGGGTATGTAAAATGGTACAGCTTCTGTGAAAAACAGTGTGGCAGCCCCTCAAAAAAATTTCAGGTAGAATTACTATATAATCTAATAATTCCACTCTTAGATATATATCCCAAAGAATCAAAAGCAGGGTCTTGCTTAGGGAATTCAGTGACTCCATCAAACATAATAACTTTTCTATTATAGGAGTCCCAGAAGAAGAGAGAGAAAAGGGGGCAGAAAATTTATTTGAGAAAATAATAGCTGAAAACTTCCCTAATCTGGGGAAGGAGGCAGATGGCCAAATCCAAGAGGCACAGAGAACTCCTATCAAAATCAACAATAGCAGGCCAACACTAAGACATATTATAATTAACAATACTAGTAGGGAAGTTTAACACCCCACTTATAGCAATGGACAGATCTTCTAAGCAGAAAATCAACAAGAAAACAATGGCTTTGAATGTCACACTGGACCAGATGGACTTAACAGATATATTCAGGACATTTCATTCTAACGCAGCAGAATAGACATTCTTTTCAAGTGCACATGGGACATTCTCCAGAATAGATCACATACTAGTCACAAATCAGCCCTCAACAAGTACAAAAAGATTGAGATCATACCATGCCTATTTTCTGACCACAATGCTATGAATGGGTCAATCAGGAAATCAAAGAAGAAGTTGAAAAATATGGGGTGCCTGGGTGGCTCTGTCAGTTAAGCATCTGCCTTTGGTTCAGGTCATGATCTTGGGGTCCTGGGATCAAGCCCTGCATCGAGCTCCCTGCTCAGCAGGGAGTCTGCTTCTCCTTCTCTCTGCTCATGTTCTTTCTCTCTGTCTCTCTCAAATAAATAAATAAAATCTTTAAAAAAATTAAAAAATACATGGAAATGAATGAAAATGAAGAGCATTGTCTTGAAGAGATACTTGTACACCCATGTTCATAGCAGGATTATTCACAATAGCCAAAAGGTAGATTCAGTGGATGAATGGATAAACAGAATGGGGCACATCCATAAAATGGAATATGGTTCAGCCTTTAAAGAAAATGAAATTTGTGTCGTATGCTACACCAAGGATGAACCTTGAAGATACTCTAAGTGAAATAAGCCAGTCACAGAAGGACAAATGTTGTGTGTTTCTATTTATATGAGGTTCCTAGAGCAGTCAAATTCATAGAGACAGAAAGTAGAATGCTGGTTGCTAGGTGCTGGGACGGTGGTGAACTGGGGAGATCTTGTATAATGAGGACAGAGTTTCCATCTAGAAAGATGAGAAAGTTGTGGCAATGGATGGTGGTGATGATTGCACAGTAAGGCAAATGCACTTAATACCACTGAACTGTATGCTTAAAAATGGTTAAAATGATGGACATCTAGGCTCTTTCCATAGTTTGGCTATTGTGGACATTGCTGCTATAAACATTGGGGTGCATGTGCCATTTCAGATCACTACATTTGTATCTTTGGAGTAAATACCCAGTAGTGCAATTGCTGGGTCGTAGGGTAGCTCTATTTTCAAATTTTTGAGGAACTGCCATGAATGGATAAAGAAGATGTGGTATATATATACAATGGAGTATTATTGCAGCTATCAAAAAAATGAAATCTTGCCATTTGCAATGATGTGGATGGAACTAGAGGGTATTCCCTAAGCAAAATAAGTCAATCAGAGAAAGACAAGTATCATATGATCTCACTGATATGAGGAATTTTAGAAACAAGGCAGAGGATCATAGGGGAGGGGAGGGAAAAACGAAACAAGACAAAACCAGAGAGGGAGACAAACCATAAGAGACTCTTAATCTCAGGAAACAAACTGAGGGTTGCTGGAGTGGAGTGGGGTGGGAAGGATGGGATGGCTGGGTGATGGACATTGGGGAGGGTATGTGCTATGGTGAGCACTGTGAATTGTGTAAGACTGATGAATCACAGACCTGTACCCCTGAAACAAATAATACATTATATGTTAATAAAAATGGTTAAAATGGTAAATTTTATGGTATGTATATTTGACCATAATAAAAAAGAAAAACAAAAAATAAATACCTAGAGAGGGGAAAACAAATAAATAAATCTAAGATAAATTTGCCTTTTTTGCTGTCATGCTCTAACAAGTATATAGTGGTATTTTCCAGAGACTACATGGCAGGTAACACTGCAACATAATGGTAGAAACAAATAAAAGAATCCAACTGTCTTCTATTAAGGAAGATGTGAAAGAGATTTGCAAAAATGTAAAACAAAGCTACTCTTTTCCGTCTTTTGTTTTAGAAAGTATACTTACCTCTTTATTAAAACATATCATATTTGTGGTAATGTATAATGGTTTGCATCTGTTATTTGTAAAAACACACATTTGTAAAATTTCTCTATTTTAATTTCTAATGTAGTAAATAGAGATAGATAGAACCCATATAAATAAAAGTTCTTTGGAGTGTAGAGGGGATCCTGAGATCAACAAGTCTACTAAGCATTGATGTGACAATTCCAAGACATGATTTATTCTACATGCATGTGTGTGCCAGCCCACCCTGATCAGCAGATCTTCTCTTTCTTCAGGCCGGCAGGCGACCTCCAGGCCCAGCCCTGTGGTGGTGAGTGGTGATGGGGATGAAATAGTGTGGAACTTCAGCCAACTGAGGGAACTCAGCCATCAGGCAGCCAATGACCCTGGGCTGCATGCGAGCAGGTTGGTAATTGATTGCTTGGCCTGGTCACTATCTCCCTTGTGAAGCTGTTGGCAGAGAAATTCCACCACCCTTCCCAAAAGATGTCCCCTTTACATAGCATGCTGTCTCTCCTCATATGGAAATACCACCCTTCATTCAATTATTTAAGTAAACTGTGCACCAAGCACTGTGCTAGAGTCTACAGAGTAGACAAAACATGGTCTATACATTCATGGGGCTTAAAGATCTTTCGAGAGAGATAGTCTTTAAACTATTAATTGCACACATAATTATTGAATCACAATTTTGATAAGTGGCATGAGAATTTTATAAGAACGTATTGAAAGAAAAAAGTTGGCAAACGATGACCTATAGACCAAATCTGGTCTGCTGCTTGTTTTTGTAAATAAAGTTTTATTAGAACACAGTCATACCCTGTTTACATATTGTCTGTAGCTGCTTTTGCACTACGATGGCAGACTTGAGTAGTTGGGACAGAGAGCATCTGGCCCACAAGGCCTAAAATATCTACTGTTTGGCCCTTTGCAGAAAAATTTTGCCAACCCCTGTGATAAAAGGAGACCTTAACTGACTAATCTGAGGGGTCACTGAAGTCTCAGTGGAGTGATATTTGGGCTGGGATCTGAAGGATAAGTGGGGTTCAGCCAGGAGAAGATGCAGAGAGGAATGCCCCAAGCAGAGGGAACAGCACAGAGAGGAAGGAAGCTTGCACATTATGAGAAAACCTGGAAGGATATCTATGTGTTTAGAGGCAGCAAGGAGAACGTAGTGGCAAGTGAGCCTGGAAAGATGGCCAGGACCCTGGGGTCCATGGTGAGGGTTCTTCATCCTTATCCAGTGAGGAATGGAAAAGCATAGATGGATTGAGTGACATCATCATACTTTGTTTGTAAAAGGTCACCCTGGATGGTGCATAGAGATGGGATGATGGAGGGCTAGAGTAGGTTGGGAAACCCAGACAGGAAACAAGGAATGATGCTGGCTTCAACCTTGGATGGGGTGGTGGAGATGGAGGTAAGTGGGTGGATTTAAGAGGCAATTAGGAAGAAACTGAGAATACCATTTTTTGATGAATGACATATGATAGAGAAAAAAAGCCAGGGAGATGGAGAAGTCATAGAAACTCTGGCAACTGGATGGATGCTTTGGGCTTTCACTAAAGTGAGGACCACAGGGAGAAGCAGATATGGGGCTGTCAGGGTAAGATGGCAGGTTCAGTTTGGGAACTGTTGAGTTAGAGGTACCCATGTGATGTTCAAGAAGGGATGAGAAGTTCCAGTTACAATATAAATATGTCCTGGGGATGTAATGTACAGCATGGGAACTATAGTTAATAATACTGTATTGTGTATTTGAAAGCCGCTAAGAGAGTAGATCTTAAAAGTTGTTATCACCAGAAAAGAAAATTTGTAGTTATGTGTGGTGATGGATGTTAACTAAGCGTGGTAATCATTTGATAATATATCCATATATCAAATTATTATGTGGTAAACCTAGTACAGTGTTATAAGTCTATTATATATCAATTAAAGTATGTATGGGAAAAAGAAAAGAAGGGATGGAAAGTGAGATGTTGCATTGAAGGGCACAATGTCTGAGATGGAGACAGAAATTCAAGAATCATCAACCTTTAGATTCGAGAGATGAGAAGTGGAGAGGTGTAAGAGAGAGTCACAGAAATGCCTGCACAACCTACCCTCATTCCCACCCGACCCCTCCTGGCTTCTCTCACATGTAACAGGTATTCTCATCAAAAAGGAGGAAGATGTAAGTACGGTCAAGATGTAGGAGTAATCAGAGGAAGTAGAAAGTAGGAACTTGAGGCCCCATGGAGAGAGTGAACAGGCCACACAAGGAAGATGACACCCTGAGAGATTACCGTCTGAAGGGAAGGAGAACTTAGTGGGGGACATGTGTCTGTTTTTCTGTGGGCCTGACTCAACATGGCCATTGTGTTGGAGACACACTGGAGGTGGTTAACTGGTCTGCAGTGTGGATCCTGAAATGTTAAGAGTGGGAAGAAAGTGAGCCAGGGGTAAAAGCTGTGCATGAGGAGGAACATGTGAAATAAACTTTGTAAATGGTGAAACATAAGTCGTTATTCTCCAGAAGAATAAACAAAATCACATGGGTCTTATCAAGATAGAAGACAAAAACAAAGCTAAGAGCACTCTTGCCCAAGAAAATTCCATGTTCCAGGTTTGGGAGAAGTAACCAGGCCCTAGAGCAGGACCTGTGTTGCAGGATGGAGAAATTCTAAGAGCCTTTCCATAGTTTAATTACTCTATGAAAGTCTTTGGATATGGGAAACTTCCGTAGGGCATTGTGTGTGTGTGTGTGTGTGTGTGTGTGTGTGTGTGTATGTGTGTGAGGCGGTTAGACTGTCCATGGCATGACATCAGGCAACTCAGTTTCTCTCCTTAGTCCTGGTCGACCCTTTACAGTTCTAACACACCCAGGAAATTGGTGTTCAAATCACTCTCTGATCTTTGGTGCCTTGCTACTGATATTCCCCATTGGTCATCCCTTCCTCAACCCCTCTTCCCCCATTTGCTCCCCACTGGTTGATTACATCAAGCTTCTCTAGGGAAGAAGATAACCATCCCTCCCAGTTCTAAGACATTTGGTTTCTCTAGGCCTCGTCTTCATGCCCGGGACTATCCAAATGAAAGCCAAGGACATTCTCTATAGGCTGCAGGTGTCTAAAGCCAGGGCCATCGTGGCTGGGGATGAAGTGGCCCAGGTAGTGGACACTGTGGCCTCTGACTGCCCTTCTCTGAAAATAAAGCTACTGGTATCTGAGAAAAGCCGGGATGGGTGGCTGGACTTTAAGACACTACTACGGTAAGTTTCTACATGTCTCAGCCTGTGTTTTCACCAAAAGTGGAAACTGAACAAAGCACTTATGTGTACGTGCTTTATTTGGGAGCTCCAGCAAGCAGAGTGTGGGACTGGGGAGTGTGAAGCAGGGATGAAGGAAAAGCTAATTTAAGAGTTTATTATTGAGTCACTGCATGCTATAAGTGGGCTTGATCTGCAGGGACCTCACAGAATGCCTCTCAGGATTATCCACTGAAGGACTGACAATCTTGGAGCCATCAGCCTCTGAGCCCCATTGGTGGACGGTTGTATGGGGGGTGGGTATCATCTACCCCATACTTCCAGGCTGCATATACATGCATGCAGAGCAGGCTCAGAGTCCCATGCCATCATGGCAACAGATAAATCCTGGGGCACAAAGTGAATCAGCCATAGTCCACACCAGAAGCACCACCAAGTGAATTGAAATGCCCAGAGCTGTTTACAGCAAACCTGGCAGGAATCAGAGGTGAGGCCAAGAGCATCTGAGGTAAAACGCAGAGGATGATATACTGAATATCCTCCTCTCACCCTCTGTATCTCTAAGCTAGGCTTCTAAAGCAGAGGACTCTATGAGTCCTTCCAGCAGTGTATGGCAGGCTTGGTTGTAAGAACGCATTTCCCTGTCACATGTCTGGACTCCCTCCATTAGAGACACAGACCTAGGGAGAACAAAAGCTTTTTCTAATGTCATGGTCTTTAAGATAACTGTTAGAGAAGTTGACAACATGCAACCAGGTTTGAAAGACTTGAAATTGGGACACTAGAGGAGATATTCAAGAGAGGGAAGTCAAGGGATTAGAGGAGGTTGTATTGTGAAAACTGATACTAAATGAGCACCTACTATTAACTGGTATCCTGTGAGGGCTCCCAACAACAATCAGGTTAACATTTATGGAGTTTTTGCCGAGCAAGTTGCTCATTTTCTTTGGGTTACGGTTAATTTTCTCAGTAACTCTATGAGATGGATATTATTGATGATGTTTCACAGATACAGAAAGTGAAACTCAAAGAAGTTAAATAAATAGTCTGAAGTCACATAAAGTGCCAAATCTGAGTGGGTTTTGAGCCCAAGTGTGACTGACTCAGAATCCCTTGATCTTAATCCTTCATAAGCACACCCATGGGGGAAGGTGGGAAGAGATGAGTCGCTGGGACATCTAATGTCCCAGGGAGATCTGAGAATGTGACAGTCTGTGTCTTTGTCAGAGAAGCATCTACCACTCATTGCTGTGTAGAGACTGGAAGCCAAGAAGCAGCTGCCATCTACTTCACCAGTGGGACTAGTGGCCTTCCCAAGATGGTGGAACACTCCCACTCAAGCCTGGGCATCAAGGCCAAGATGGATGCTGGGTAAGAGAAACCCTTTCGCTCTACAGAAAACTACATGACCAAGGCTTGAGACTTTTCTGAGCTCAAATCCAGTTCTCTTTGCATGGGCTACCCTCTGCTGCTTCTGAGAAAGACAGTTGGGAAGCTGGGCAAGAGGGAGCATGGCTTAGCAAGCTGGGTATCTAGTGACCTTTGGTGGGACATTTTTGTTCCAGATAACTTTGGATCTCTAAACCTTCAGTGCTTTGAGCCATGTGTGTAATGGGATTAGCACAAGGTCTATGGGCATTTCCCCTTCCAGTCCATCTATATCTTGTCCTTTGGAATGCTGGTAATTTGCTTTGATGCTGCCCACATTGCAAGAGGGCATTTTGGCTGTCAGCATCAAATTACTTCTCAAATCTGTTGAGGTGGAAGCTATAATTGGATTATAGTTTACCCTTGAACAATACAAGGGTTAGGGGCACTGGCCCCTGTGCTGCTGAAATCCAGGTATAACTTTTGACTACCCCAAAACTTAACTACTAATAACCTACTGTTGACCAGAAGCCTTACTGATAACCTAAACAATCAATTAACACCTATGTTGTATGTTATATGCATTATATACTGTATTCTACAATAAAGTATGCATGAGAAAAGAGCATTTTATTAAGAAAATCATAAGGTAGAGAAAATACATTTACAGTACTATACTGTATTGAAAAAAATCTGCATGTAAATGGACCCATGCAGTTCAAACCCATGTTGTTCAAGGGTCAACTGTAATGAAATGAACTGAGATCTCAGAATTTCTGAATCTCAGATCCCATAATTCAGAATTTTCTTTTACAATATATCAACCTCATCAATGGAATCAAAATACTGTGCCAAGGTTGTCATGCAATAATAATAAGAGATATTCAGGGTCTTTTCTTTTTTCAGGATATCCTGCTTATCATGTTAAGTCTATTACTAGAACTGGAAAAATATTTTAATGCAAAAAACGTAAAAAACTTAAATGCCCCATCTATGAGTCTGTAGTACCAGAAAATTTAATTATTTAATAGAAATTATTTAATAGAAGAGCTATAGTAAAATGCAGTTTCTAAAAGATGGGATGATAAATCACTTAAATGTAAGTAAGATATTAAATTTCCACCCCTCACCCCAAAATTTGGTCCCAATATGCCAAAAAGACCCAATTTCCTTACAGAGCTGAAATTATTAATTGTCCTCGGTAAGAGACACATACTATGATGATTCCCAGCCACAGAGAAGTTCTTTGTGTCTAGCCTAAATCATTTTTGCTTTAAGACAGGGCTAATAACTTTTATTCTGGCCTGAAGAGAGGAAGGATACACATTTCACCCTGTATAGGACCTTCAACTGTGTGTAGGCAGTTGAGCTCTATCCAACCAAACTTGAACTTAACAAGGCCACTTTTTAGAATATTCACTTAGATGTCTTTTGTTAGTAAACATTTTCTGGGTGGTTACCTCATGCCAAAAACTGTATTAAGTTCTGGGGATAAAATGAGAATAAGACCCGAGCTGGTCTGCCCGAGACCCCCTGAGCGCCAACCCTATTCCGCCGCACAGTCCCATTTCCACTCCAACAAGATGAAAGAAACTATCACGAACCAGGAGAAACTCGCCAAACTGCAAGCACAAGTGCGCATTGGTGGGAAAGGAACTGCCCGTGGAAAGAAGAAGGTGGTTCATAGAACGGCTACAGCAGATGATAAAAAACTTCAGTTCTCCTTGAAGAAGTTAGGGGTAAACAATTTATCTCTGGTATTGAAGAAGTGAATATGTTCACTTTTTTTTTATATTTCAGGTATTTTTTATTTCTTCAAATTTATCAGGAGTGACTGAAATAAAAAATATAATTGAGTCCTGTCATGATGGAAATGGCTTTAAGAGAAAACTGGTCAGATGAGTATTATTGCTTCCCGTTTTCAACCAGTGGAATAGTTGCCATTGATAAATAGGCAGCCAACAGTCTGTCAAGAATGCTCAAGATATGTTATATAATACAACATGCCTGTTCACAGTGGGGGAAAGACTAGGAAGTAACTCATGTGAACTTCTTGATTTCATCATACAAGACCAGCACAAAAGCACCACCCATGCCTCTGAGAACATTGGACCACGCCCCCTTGAAAAACGTTTTGGCTCCTTCATCACGAGCGATCTTCCTCCAGCAGTCTACTGTACCTGTGTACATGATGTCAGTTCCTTTGTGCCCTGACTGCATCATCATTCGGTGGCGAACAGTGTCAAATGGGTAGGAAGTCAACCCGGCAACCGCTGTGACGGATTGTGCGATCATCCAGCTGATGAAGATGTGAGTGTTCTTGGGATCTGGAAGCATTCCCTTTGCGGTGTCATAGATACCGAAGTAGGCAGCTCGGTAGATGATGATGCCCTGCACAGACACATTAAAGCCTTGGTATAGGCCCTTCATGCCATCAGATTTGTAGATCTTCACCAGGCAGTCACCGAGGCCTCGGAATTCCCTTTCAGCTCCAGCTTTGCCCACATCGGCTGCGAGCCGGGTACGGGCAAAATTAAGAGGGTACACAAAACACAAGTATGTGGCCCCAGCGGCACCGCCTGACACCAGATTCCCGGCAAAGTAGCGCCAAAACTGGGTACTCTTGTCCACACCACCCAGGAAGATCTGCTTGTATTTATCTTTGAAGGCGAAGTTGAGAGCCTGGGTGGGGAAGTATCTGATGACATTGGCCAGGTTACCGCGCCAGAAGGACAGGGCTCCCTGCTCCTTGGGGATGCGAACCACACAGTCCATAATGCCCTTGTATTGCTTATCTGCTGTGATTTGCTTGCTGGCATGCTGCACCTGCAGCAGCAGCTTGACCCGCTCGATGGGCGCTACCGCCGTCTTGGAGATGGCCGCGGCCACTCCACCCGCCAGGAAGTCCTTGGTGAAGGACACAGCGGCATCTGTCATGTTGAAAGGAATGAGACGGGCGACTGCGGGACTACGGGAGGAACCGGCTGGAACCGCCCGCCTGTCCTTTCCGAGCTACCCGGGGAAGGGTCTATGCGGCGTTGCTTTGCATTCCCGTCGTAACTTAAAGGGAAACTTTCACAATGTCTGGAGCCCTTGATGTCCTGCAAATGAAGGAGGAGGATGTCCTCAAATTCCTTGCAGCAGGAACCCATTTAGGTGGCACCAACCTTGACTTTCAAATGGAACAGTGCATCTACAAAAGGAAAAGTGATGGTATCTACATCATAAATCTGAAGAGAACCTGGGAGAAGCTTCTGCTGGCAGCTCGTGCCATTGTTGCCATTGAAAACCCAGCTGATGTCAGTGTCATATCGTCCAGGAATACTGGCCAGCGAGCTGTGCTGAAATTTGCTGCTGCTACCGGAGCCACTCCTATTGCCGGCCGCTTCACTCCTGGAACCTTCACTAACCAGATCCAGGCAGCCTTCCAGGAGCCGAGACTTCTGGTGGTTACTGATCCCAGGGCTGACCACCAGCCTTTTATAGAGGCGTCCTATGTTAACCTGCCTACCATTGCTCTGTGTAACACAGACTCTCCTCTGCGCTATGTGGACATTGCCATCCCTTGCAACAACAAGGGAGCTCACTCAGTGGGTCTGATGTGGATGCTGGCCAGGGAAGTTCCGCGCATGCGTGTCACCATTTCCTGAGAACACCCATGGGAGGTCATGCCTGATCTCTACTTCTACAGAGATCCTGAAGAGATTGAAAAGGAAGAGCAGGCCGCTGCTGAAAAGGCTGTGACCAAGGAGGAATTTCAGGGTGAATGGACAGCTCCAGCTCCTGAGTGCACTGCTACTCAGCCTGAAGTCGCAGACTGGTCTGAAGGTATGTAGGTGCCCTTGGTGCCTATTCAGCAGTTCCCTACTGAAGACTGGAGCGCCCAGCCGGCCACTGAAGACTGGTCTGCAGCTCCCACTGCTCAGGCCATTGAATGGGTAGGAACAACCACTGAGTGGTCTTAAGCTGGTCTTCCACAAAGGCACACAAAATGGAAATAGAAATGGAAAAGGTTGACGGAAAATAAACAGTTAAAAAAAAATAGCTCACGCCTTGGGAGGGGGTCTGACAATCTGCATCTGCGTCTGCGTATGCAATGGCTCCTGGGAGCATTGCCTCCAGTGATATCTCAACCTCTTCAACGTCCTCAACCTCCTTGCCCTCCACAGTGGGGTCGTCCAGGGTGTCTGAGTCTGAACAGCGAGGCCCGAGCCGCAGCACCACCTGAGGGCCGTGCTGCCACCCTCCCGTGCTGCGCATGGTCCTGGAGGGACCCGCTGCAGGCGGAGGAGCGTCGCCGGGGCACCTCCGTGGCGGCCATCAAGGTTTACATCCTGCAGAAGTACCCTACGGTGGATGTACTCTGGCTCAAGTACCTGCAGAAGCAGGCCCTGGCCACAGGCATGCACCGCAGCCTGCTTGTCCGGCTCACCGACTCCAAGGCCAGGGTGGCCACTGGCAGCTTCACATTGGTTCCCAAGCATAAGAGGAAAGTCCAACCCAAGAAGACACCCATCATGACAGCCCCCAGGAAACCCAGTGAGGCCAAGGAGAAGGTCCCCAAGAAACCAAGGGAGGCAAAGAAGGACCCTCCCAACCCAGGCGAGGTGAAAAGGGGACCCAGGAAGCTGCGAGAGGTGAGGATGGCTCCTTCCAAACCAGGTGCAGCCAAGGAGAAGGCTCCCAAGAAAGGTGGCCCAACCAAAGACCAAGAAGCAAGAGCGAATGAGGCCAGAAAGGCCTCCCAACAGCCAGACAAGGCCACACGGGCCCCTCCCAGTGCCACCGGGCCCAGTGGGAAGTCAAAGGTCAAAGGCAGAAGGAAGAGCCAGGGTGGTGAGGCCCACAGGAAAACAAAAGCTGGGAGTCGGAGTGCAAAACCCACGGTCCCCAAGGCCAAGAAGGGTACTGCTTCTCCAGCCAAAAAGAGGGAAAATCACGTCCCTAAAGAGGTCGTTGCCCATGCGGCCAAGGTGGGGCCCAAAGCCAAGGCCGCTGCTCTTCCCAGGGCTGGTGAGTCTAAGATGGTGCCTGAACCCCTGGCCAGGAAGACAGAAGCCCCCAAGGGCCCAAGGAGGCTGGACTTGCCCACCAAGGCCTCATCGTCCAAACTGGCCAGTAGGAAGGCGGAGGCTGAAAGCTAGAACTGGGGTGGAGACACGGAGATCCTGCCCGAGTTTTTTTTTTTTAATAATTTTTTGTTGTTATGTTAATCACCATACATTACATCATTAGTTTTTGATGTGTTCCATGATTCATTGTTTGTGCATAACACCCAGTGCTCCACGCAGAATGTGCCCTCTTTAATACCCATCACCAGGATAACCCATCCCCCTCCCCCCCTCCCCTCTAGAACCCTCAGTTAGTTTTTCAGAGTCCATCATCTCTAATGGTTCGTCTCCCCCTCCGACTTACTCCCCTTCATTCTTTCCCTATCTTCTTCTTCTTTTTTTTCTTAACATATATTGCATTATTTGTTTCAGAAGTACAGATCCGTGATTCATCAGTCTTGTACAATTCACAGCCCTCACCATAGCACATACCCTCCCCAATGTCTATCACCCAGCCACCCAATCCCTCCCACCCCCCACCTCTCCAGCAACCCTCAGTTTGTTTCCTGAGATTAAGAATTCCTCATATCAGTGAGGTCATAGGATACATGTCTTTCTCTGATTGACTTATTTCACTCAGCATAACACCCTCCAGTTCCATCCACGTTGTTGCAAATGGCAAGATCTCA